CTTTGGGTCAACAGAATATGACTTATGTGTTTATATATGCTGGAAACCACCCAGAATGCCAGGGGAAACCCAGACAGATGGGCAGGGTATAAATAAAATCATCATCATCATCATCATCATCATCATCACTAGGTTCATATCTCACAATGCTTATTGATAAGTTTCTGGTGTTCAGAAACTATGGTGATGTAGCTACTAGGATGGTGTGCACTGAATATAAATGGCCAGGCATTTGTATTTTATTGTTTGATAGCTCCCTGATTGAAAAATGATACTACATTTGTGTGAATATGAAATAATGAGCCCTGATCAGAGACACGTTTGGCAGTACATATATCAATTTTAACATAAAATATACTTGCTAAGAAATGGTTTTCTCCCACATGAAATCCAAAACTATTTGCAGCATTAACACTCAAAAATGAATTTCTGACAGTGCTGAGCTGATCAGAGTCATACTTTTTGAATGATGGTTCAATTTCTAGAGCCAGAAAGAGAGAAAGAGAGAGAGAGAGAGAGAGAGAGAGAGAGAGAGAGAAAGGTCTTCGGTGTTACTGAAGGATTGTACAAAATTCAAATAACCTAGATGAGTAGGTTATAGATTCCAACTATCACAGTAAATCCCTTGTTCTATCAGTTCCCATAAAAAGGTTTCTTTGATTGGGTGATTCAGCACCGCACATGTTAATGTGAGCCCACTGAATAGCTCATGAATATATCCCAATCCCATTCAGGGCTTTACTCTGAGACTTGTTTTACTTAATCATGACCCAATATACAAGTTTGGCATAGTTGAGTCCCCACCACTCCTTTTATTAAGGATACTTTTGCTCTAATGCGAAATGAGAATTATGACCTAGATGCTGACTTGTTTAAATTATATTATTACATCTGAAGACTTTACTTTCACCCTTTAAACCTCACATGTACACAAACATAATGAATGAAGTCTGACCTGTCTAATTTATTCAGCCTTATAATACAGCTTTGCATAAGATGTTCAGATCAAATATTAGCTTTGTTTAGCAACTCTAGACCATGGTGGAGTACATTTTCATTGTTTTAAGATTTAAACAATTTTGCCAGGGGCAAAGAAACCTCTCAATCTTGGATAGATCAATTTTATTTTTGCCATCTTGAATTACGTCATTTCAGATGTTAAGGACAAATTTTAACTCACAAAATTTACAAATTATGCAAATTGGGAAGAAATGTACAGATATGGGGAAAATTTAGCTGTATCGTATTATAATTAAAAACAATCTTGACAATTAAAACCAACAAAACAAAATCCAGGCTAGAGAGATACGGTTCCAATTTTATTCCCATTACATACCAGGCAGAGGGCTTTCTTGGCAGTGGCACCCACCCTGTGGAACGTCCTTCCACCAGATGTCAAGGAAATAAACAACTATCTGACTTTTAGAAGACATCTGAAGGCAGCCCTGTTTAGGGAGCTTTGTAATGTTTGATTTTTTTGTGTGTTTTTAATATCCTGTTGGAAGCCACCCAGAGTGGCTGGGGAGGTCTGGCCAGATGGGCGGGGTATAAGTAAGAAATTATTATTATTATTATTATTATTATTATTATTATTATTACACAAAGGAAGAGCCAAATGTGCATTTATAAAATAGGGAGAGAAAGTAGGGGCAGATGGGGGCGTGGCACCCCGGGCATCAGGGGGATCTCAGGGTGGTATGGGGGGCTGGGGGGCAGCACGGTGGTTGCTGGGCATCTTGGGCGCTGCAAGGGGTGGAGCCACTGCCTGTCCCTCAAAACACCAGCCACGGAAGTTTTGGCAGCTCTGCTAAAAATAGCACAAGAAGTTTAGTGGCTCCCCTAAAACAAATTTGGTCCGACCCAGGCGCTAGCAGGGGTTGCTATGCTGCTGCAAGCTGAAAAGGATTCCCCACCCCTAGTCTAGAGTGTGTAACAGATTCCAAACTGAATTTAGACCAGGAGTGTGACATTGTTGCCACTAATGCCATGACAGGGCTGGTGCAAAATCCAGTCACACACACACACAGTTTACATGACTGAATGCAACAACCTTAGTGCATGTGAAGAAAGTAGCAGAGTAGCCGATGCATCTGGTCCATCTGCCATGCAGAGTTCCAAAGTAAAACACACACGGCGGCAGAATTCTTCAGTAACAGTTTGCTGAGGTTTAAAAGTGTACAGGTCTTACTGGATCCCCAGGAAGGTTCACAAACTTCAGCTCCTAAGAGCATGTCCAGTTACAGAAGCAAAGAACAGGAAAACAGAAAGAAAAAAAACTGACTGATAAACTGAGCTCAGAGGCAGGAGATATATTACCCACCGCTGAGTATATGACCTTGAGTCTCACATGACTGGCCAGATTAGTGACCCATAAAGCTCACAATCCTTAACATACCAATCCTTAAGAACCCCACTGTTTCTTCTCAAGCGTGTGTGTGTGTGTGTAGACTTTGCAGCTGGCTCTGGAGGAAGGGAGGGCAGGTACATTTAGCCAATGGGGCCAGACATCTCCCCCGACCTAAAGAAGACCCCTGGGAATGATGCTATATCATGACAGAGCCCTCAAGATCCCACCAATTTTGGCAGTGGTGGAAAGAAGAAAAAAGAAAGAAGAGCAGCTCAGCGCACTGGTGGGGATGTGAACTGCCCTCACTGGTCATGAAATTGATTGTTTGATGAGTGGGTGATAGTTACCTATTCCTGAGTAGATCTGCTTGGATCAAATGAGGGCCGGGTGGCTGTGCCATAGTGGCATGTATCATAGCCACTTCAGTTGCTCACACACAGCCTTGGAGGGTTGCCCAAGTGTAAATTCAGCCCTTATGTCAAGAAATGTTCACTACCCCAGCTTAGTTTTAGCATGGTCCATTTATGGGCATCATCTGCTATAAAGGAACCTTCACAGTTTTTAATTGTTCATTTCAGCCTGAAGTGTCTGGAACATCTTTTTCCAACCCTATTGGGTAAGCTCTAAGTAACAGAGTCTGCAGTCTGAAATATTTGCTATTTAGCACCTTTGTAATATTCCACATAGAGTTCATATTTCACTTGAACCCAATCACAAATCTTGGCATTCTTAGGGGTAGATGACATTAAGAGTTTTGTGAGTTTCTGCCACTAGGTAAATTTGGTGTTCACTTAATGTCCTTTAAGCAATTCAAAAGGCAATTTTCCTGTAAAAGAATAAGGAGTAGTTTAATAAGCAAACAGAGTTGTGCAGATTGCCTCTTCCCAGGGTTGTTGCTGTGAATAAGACCATTGCATACTCTCTTTTTCTACTGTGTTCATTCTTCATCTAACCCATTCCCTGCTCTTGATTGTTTTGATACTAGCAGACAAACAATTGTAACCACAGCTGCTTCCCACTATGGTTTGGGTGTTGTCTTGATGCAAATGAAAGGAGGCAAGGAAGTTACGGCTGCGTTTGCCTCCAGAGTGCTTAATGCATTAGAAAAGAACATGTTCTGTCACTGAAAAAGAGGCTCTAACATGCTTCTGGGCAATGTAACACTTCAGGACTTTCTTGTGATATAAGGTTAACATTTATCACACATAGTTCAAGTCAAGCAACCTCAAGAATAGGTAAGCAGATCATCAGACTTAGGGACTTCTATTTCCAAACTGATCATCTCCCAAACATTTGGAATACCACTGCAGATTGCTTATCCTGTGTTCTGATTTTAAGCCAAGAGGACATCAAATAAGATGCTGATGAAGCATTGGTAATTAAACAATAGCCTCATCCACCCAAGGAGTGAGTATACCTTCAGAATGGAAAGTAGCCCTGAGTGCTGACCAAGAGCCTATTGATCTTATATAAGCAAAAGATAGTAATGCAAAAAGAAGCTATCCAGACCTCTGCAAACATACGGGCAAGTAGCAAGTGAATTGTGCCTCCTCAGTGAGATTTGAAAAATTGAGAATTGAGTAATTCCAACATCTCCACAAGCAAGATTAATTAATGTGGTCCATGGAGATCACATAGACATGTCTAACTAAAAGATGAAATAATCAAAGCATCTGGTAGCCAGGGATGAACAAAATTGTTGAGGAAATAATGGTGATTTACTATTACAAAAGGGCAGAAGTTTCGTTTTCTGACAAAACTGCTAGACGTAATTAAGTTTATGTCTGCAGTCTTTCCAGAGAAGGTCCTCTCAAGGAATTAGTGTCTGGCAAAGGTCGACAGTTTATCTCATTTGAAATGGGATACACTTCTGCAGCAATGAAATAAAACACAGAACTCTTTTTATGTCTGAAAAGTGTCCCCATGCTAGTAGTATCAGCAAAGACTTATGGGAAATCAGGTATCAGTTATTTGCAATACAGGATCCACTATTTTGGGCCAATTTCCTCTGGATTTCTCTGTCCCAATAGTTAAATGCCTCTCTGTGAAACACCCCCTTTCCCCTTTGCAATGTGTCCCTTGCAGTCCAAGATAGCAGTAAAATATCAATTTATTTTAGGAACGGAAGCCTCCATAACCTGTTGGGAGCCTATCTGAAGTTTTTCAGTGAGTACTAACAACATCTATAGTACAAACAGACCAAAACCAACATGGTGTATAATTCTGAAGCAGCCTTCTGGTACTGAACCACCAGAATTTGAATTGGCAAATATGTAGTCTTATTTTCAATGAGCCATAGGAAAAACAAACATGGTAAAGAAAAAAGTAAAATGGGTCAACACCTGCAGCCATTTAAGTGCTATTTCAGCACCACCTAGTGGCAAACTGTTTCTCTGTAAAAAGGGTTTAAAAAAGATAGATGCAAGATATTGTACTGGAGAGAAATGATAGCAGTTTACAAATAAAATGATAGATGCAAGATATTGTATTGGAGAGAAATGATAGCAGTTTACAATAAAAACCGTTTAAAATAACAATATAAAACATTTGCAAAAATAATTAAAATCAACGATCAGCTAAAAACCAGTTTATTGCACCTGTCAACATTCTGTACGTCTGAATAGACTTGCCTAAATAAAAATCTTTTCAGCAGGCACCGAATACAGTGACGGCACCTGCCGGACGTCAATAGTCAAGGGAGTTCTAAAGCGTGGGCGCCGTCACACTAAAAGATCAATTTCTTACAAGTGCAGAACGAATATTCTGTGGCACCTGCAGCAGTGCCAGTTTCGCAGATCGAGGTTATGGGGCGAAAGAATAATAATTATCATTATCCCTTAACCGGAAGCAAGATTGGCCGCTGCACCCTTTTTTTTTTTTTTGGCACCACCTGACCCGATGGAGAGGGACGGGGCAACGAACGCAGACTGCGCACGCGCGCCCGGAACGGAATGGGGCCAGAGTTCGAGGCTTAGCGAGGGGCGCCCGAAGAAGTGGTCCAGCTCCTGAGATCTCGTTGCCATAGCTACACGCGCTGCCGGAAGTGCTCCTCCATGGTCCCGCCCAGCTCCCCGAGCCTCTCCGTAGAGCAGAGCTCGGGCTCCTGGGAGAGACTTCTTGGCCGCTGAAGATGGCGGACGGCGGGGCGAGCGCCGAGCAGGAGCAGCAGCAGCAGCAAGAGAAGGCGGAGGACGAGGATACGGGACCCGGCACGAGCGGGATGCGGCGGGAGAAAGGGCCCCGTGGAAGCGGGCGGCCCCCTACCGTCAGGGACCTGCAGGTACGGGGAGCGGAGTGGGGCGGGCGAGAGAGCCCTCGGTGTCGCCTCCCCTTCCTGGGAGTCGCTCCGCCTCGAAAACCGACAGTGGAGGTGCTCCAGAATGGCCAGCCAGGGTTGTGTAAGAGAGCAAGCCGGGAGCTGTGGCTTTCTGGGAGAGTTTATAGCAAGCAGGCATTATTTCTTGGCAGCCGCCGTGTGCTGTCCCCGCACCTTCTTTTCCTCGCAACTGATGGCGACACGCCTTGCTTTAGGTAAAACCTCCGCCGAGCTCACCGTGTTGCCAAACACGGGTTGTACCGGGGGGGACTGTTAAATATAGGTTAAGAGCTGTAAATGTTTCCTCATCACTCCCTAGTGAAATGAAATCGCATGGGGAAACTGCTCTGACAGTGCATTTTCTCTGCATGCCTTTTCAAAAGTAAGCGTCGCTGAGCTCAGTGGAGCTTGCTCCCAGGTAAGAGAGTGCATATGGTTTTGGCTGGAGATATTTGCCTCAGCGATTCAAGTTTGTGTGTGCTTTTTTTCTGCACACCAGGTCAGACACCAGGAACGATTTTCCGAAATAAATCAAGGTAACCATATAGAGTTGCCTGTTGATGTCAGAATCTCTTCTCAAACTGTCATATGGTATATGTGGCTTCACAGTTCTATGTAGCATTAAAATGTTTATTTTTTAAAAAAATAATTTTTTATTAAAGTTTTAAACAAACAAAAAAAGAAAAACAACACACACAAAAAACAATACAAAACTTAACAATAAAAACACAAAACATAGCAATTAAAAACAAACTCTCTTTTCCATTTCCAATTTTAAATTACTTATTTTCTGGACTTCCTCATACCTCCCTCTTTTGTATTCCAATCTACATTGTTTGTCCAGCAGTTTCTTTTCCACTTTTTAATCCCAATCTTTAATTTAATAAAACGTTAAGATATATAACTTCAACTTTTTAAACCTAATCCTTGATCTTAATGCCATATAACTTTAAATTTTTCCCTTTTATTATCAAATTTCCATTTCTTTAAACATCTTTAATCTTGATCTTTAATCTTAATCTATCCTTAACTTTAACCTGTACAGCTGGAAACCACTTGTTTTCAGTCCAACATCACTCTAACATTCCTTAATTTTGCAGTGTTTCTGAAGATAGTCTTTGAATTTCTTCCAGTCTTCCTCCATCGACTCTTCTCCCTGGTGCATTAAAATGTTTATGAAAAACATCTTCTTGCCCTAAATTTTGTGCCCTCGCCCTGAAGCAGCTTGTCATTGAAATGACACCAGGATCTCTTCATAGAAATGTTTGTTGTTTCTAATCCAGATTTTAAAAATACATTGCAGTGAAACATCAATACTCGGGGAAACAAAATTAAACTATAATACTTTAGATTTTCAGTGTAGAAACAAACCATATAGCAGCATTTTTCTTTGTTTAATTTTTGCTTCTTATTCTTTGGGCCACTTGTATTGATATTAATAAGATCTATTGTGTAAATTACATGCAGCTTTTTTACTCTCACATCTTTGCCAAGTGCAAACCCACATCCACCATTCACTGAAAACAACAGAGAGGGCAAAAAATACACATGCAAAAACACAGCAGGGACATATCTGTGTACTTTTATAATCATGAAGTTAATCTTCATAGGCTTTAAATCAAAAAGTATTTTGATAATTGCCTAGTTCATGAGCTGGGATAGCTCCGTCAGTAGAGCATGAGACTCTTAATCTCAGGGTTGTGGATTCGAGCCCGACATTAGGTGAAAGATTCCTGCATTGCAGGGGGTTGGACTAGATTACCCTTGTGGTCCCTCCCAACTACAATTTTATGATTCTATATAGCAAATCTCATATTTCTGCCTCTTGCTTGGACTTCAGTATATATTCTATAATAATTGCTTAGACATATCATTAACTTCCACTGTGTCTACAGCAAGAAATGAAACCTGTGGCCCTCAGATATTGTTGGACCATTGGCCCCACCCAGCATAGCCAATGGTCATGGAAGATGAGAGCTGTAGTCCCCAATTCCTGGTCTAGAAGTCAGTAGAAGCTGGCCTAATTTGCTTGTCATGTTAAACCATAGTTTCAAACAAACTATGCTGAAAACAAACCATAAGCCCAACGTTAGACAGCACCATGCACCAACATGCTTCTCTTTCATTTATATTAAAGTAAAAATGGTTTTATGTAATATGTGAGCTAGATCATTGTGTCTAAGCACATGCTTCTTGTTCACTTATTACATTATCCTTACTATACTGTTTTATTCTGAAAGTAAAATCATGTTCAGTCATATAAGGAAAGGATTTATAGCTGTCATGAAGAAATGTTATTAATTGTTGTGCTATCAAGTGTTGCTCTTTTGTGACATTAGTAATTTTTACTTGGCAAACAGCTGTTCTTTCAGCATGTGATTGTGAAAAAAGGTTATTTTTTAAAAAAATAGTTCTCATAACCATGCCTGCCCAATGATCTGCATATTTGACCGGTATGAATTAGTCACCTCTCTTTTAAAAGAGAACTACATATAGAATACATGTAGTTAGTTTTTTGGGTCTGTAGACATTGACTAAAGCATCTGGTGTTTGGTATAGCTGGCATTGGCTGGATTGTATGAAGATGAAATGAAAAGACAACCGTCTCATTCTGAGAAACCAACAGCTAGAGTGAGCAGTCATCCGAGATTACCAGTGCAAAGGTAAATAAGGGCTTTTATTATTTTTATATGACACTGTCAAACAGTTCAAATTAACTGTGATAGTTCCTATAAGTGTGCATTTCAAAAATGCAAATATTAAGCAAGCATTTAAAAAATGTAAAGGAGTCTCTTCCTAAATCCCTGAAGACGCAATCCTATGTACACTTGTATGGGAGTAAATTCCATTGTGCACAGTGGTACTTTCTTCCAAGAAAATGTGCATTGGATTGCAGTGTGAGTTGCTGTCTTTCATCAGGGAACCAAAGGGCCATGGAGAACCTTCTACATAAGCTCTACTGAAATGCATGAAAGTTGATGAGCAACACTGGGGCAAGGTGATTATAATATAAAATTTGTTGTAGACTGGTTCTTGTACAGCATTTGCATGCTATTCCTTTATTATAGCAAGAGTCTTCTAACTTAGATTTGACTGTCACAACCTATGAACTCTACAGAGGTTGGATATCACAAATTTATTTTCAATATAAAAAAAATTAAGATTGGTGGTGTAAAATTAATGGAAGTTTAAATGAATATTTCTTGGCTGACTTCTTCAGAAGCTTGCGAAAACCAGAAAGAAGTATGAGTGATGACAAGGATAACAAAAGGTACCATAAAATAAGCATTTAATTGATTTATAATATTCATAAATAGTGTGTTTAAGTTTTTAATGTTCCTTTTCCCCTTGAACTTTTCTTGTCTTTTTATTATTGTTGTCATCATCCCCAGCTGTAATAATACAGTGGTACCTCGGGTTACATACGCTTCAGGTTACAGACTCCGCTAACCCAGAAATAGTGCTTCAGGTTAAGAACTTTGCTTCAAGAAGAGACCAGAAATCGTGCTCCGGCGCGGCAGCAGTGGGAGGCCCCATTAGCTAAAGTGGTGCTTCAGGTTAAGAACAGTTTCAGGTTAAGTACAGACCTCCGGAACGAATTAAGTACTTAACCCGAGGTACCACTGTAGTTGTCATCCTCAATTGTTGTGGATCCTCTCACATTGAACGTGGGGTTAATATCATAAGCTAACATGAGAAGAGACAGTGGAGGTATAATGGCTTTGAGGGCCTCCACAAATTAGTCTAATCCTCTTCTAAAGTCATCTAAGTTGGCAGCCATCACTACCTCTTGTTTGAGTGAATTCCACAGTTTAACTGTGCTGTGTGGAAAAAGTACTGTCTTTTGTCTATCCTGAGTCTTCCAGCATTCAGCTTCATTGAATGGCTGAGTTTTCATAAATCATGCACAATTTTATGCCCACCCACTCCCAGCTTATTTGACTATTTTTCTTGAAAACAAAACAAAAGTCCCAAATGCTGTAACCTTTCATCATGGAGTTGTTACTCTTAAGTTTGACTGGGTGCCCTGTAAGACACCCTTCCAACTCCTTTGATTCTAAACAATGATGCTTTCTCGTTAGTAGGAAATAGTGACAGGATAGCTGGGTGTTGGCATCTGTCTGTGATGAAAGACAATGGAGTTCTCGTCCAGGGGTGAAATCAAATCACTGGAGAATCGCAGCGCCTGCTGTGGCTGCAGAGACTGGTAACTTGTAACTGCTGCCTCTTGCATTGTTTTTGCTGAGTTAGCAAGCCTGGGCAGTGTGTATGGAGAGCCAGGGCTGCCCAGACAACAAGGCCTCCCTCTCAGCCTCACTAATGTGTTCCAAAGGAAAGCAGAGCAATACATTTGGTACCAGCTTGGCTGCAGGGGTTGCTAGAAGGAGGCGTACAAGATGCCATCCAACTATCCCTAAGACATTCCTTTTTTTTTTAGAGTTTACTCCTTAGCCTGTTCTTCCTCTGAAAATGCCCCATAAGGTAGCAGGTAGAATAGGTTATACACTCAGTCTTTATTTCTAAAATATGCTTCTTTAAACCAACCTCCAATATAAGATGCACATCTTACATGTTGGAGGTATAAAATCAAAATATGAAATAATTCGTCTAATTTTTCACCTTTCTTCAGTGTTTTGTTTTTGTGTGGTTTTCGTCTCTTCGTCCCAGGGGAAGTTTTTTCAAGAGCATGTCTGCGGGCCATAAATTATATCTCAATTGCATCTTGGAACCTGACACAGGTGCAAACACCCAGTCGTGATTTTTGCATGCTTTCAGATTTCTCCAGTTCTTCAGCAGCAACATGTGCCCAATCACTTAGTGTTGCTGAGGATCTTCTGGTCTTCAGAAAACTTTAAGGATGGATGGGGTTCAGGGAATTCCCTTGTGTGAAGCTCCCTTCTATTTGTGCCAGGGTTGTGTGAGAACTTAAGAGTAATCCTACTGAATCAAAGCAAAGATGTATCCAGTGCAGCATTCTGTTTCCACAGTGGCCAGGCAGATGCCTGTTAGAATCCCAGAAGTAGAACACACAGTAGCTCTCTCCCACTTGTGGTCCCCAGCAACTCAGATTCAAAGGCATATTGAATGCACCCTCTTATTTTTATGAATATCTGGACATCTTAAAGAAGTACAGATAAATTTGGAGTTCCTGACTGTGTCAAAACTCTCTCAATCTTTTAACAGCACATAAGCTGTAATGTGGTTCTAATCAGAATATGAAAAAGTCAGGAAATTAAATAGTATGGGGGGTGGCTTTTGTTAAAATGAAGATATTAACCAGAATAATATTTTTCCTAACATTACCTGGTAAGGTTCTTCCAAAAATTTTGATTCCAACATGAAGTGAAAATAATTCCAATATAAGGCATTAAAAAGCTTCAGGGATTAGATATTGTACGTAAAAATAAAAACTTAATTTCTAAATTAAAAACTATATTTACTTGTTGAAGTTATTAAATGTCTATCTTGCCCTTTCTTCCAAAGGAAGTTCCCGACTTAGAGAGCTTACAGTCGAAAGCAGGGTGGGACAGCCCAAGCCACTTTCCCTTCTGAAACAGAGCGCTGTTTCTGGCACTGCACAAACTAATGGACTTCTGTTTGAAAATTTCTTAATACTTATGACCAACAAATGCTGTTTGCTTTCTTTCTTTTTTTTAAAAAAAGATTTTATTCAGGTGATTCAGAATACAGAGGGCTCAGTGTTGTTGCCTCATCCAATAATATAGCATCCAGTAAAATTGTCGCTGAACTTTTCAAAGAAGCAAAAGAACATGGGGCAGTCCCGTTAGATGAAGTATCAAGAGCATCGGGGGATTGTCATAAAGCTAAAGTAAGTACATGCAATCATTTTTTTATGGGTAAAGCACAATTGTTTTAATGCAAAAGTGCTTTTATTTAACAAGTATAGCACTTGATTCCTTTTTAAAAATTACTTTTGATTACTTTCATTACAAAACGTGAGCTGAATTTAGAGAGGCAGCGGGTAAAGTGTACTCCAATTCATAATATTTGCCTGCTTTAAACCGCTTTTCTGCCAGACAGGAATTTACAGCAATTAACGCTAGATGGGTGGCGCTGTGGGTTAAACCACATAGCCTAGGGCTTGCTGATCAGAAAGTCGGCGGTTCAAATCCCTGTGGCGGGGTGAGCTCCCGTTGCTCGGTCCCTGCTCCTGCCAACCTAGCAGTTCGAAAGCACGTCAAAGTAGATAAATAGGTACCGCTCCGGCGGGAAGGTAAACGGCGTTTCTGTGTGCTGCTCTGGTTCGCCAGAAGTGGCTTAGTCATGCTGGCCACATGACCCAGAAACTGTACGCCGGCTTCCTTGGCCAATAAAGCAAGATGAGTGCCGCAACCCCAGAGTCGGCCACGACTGGACCTAATGGTCAGGGGTCCCTTTACCTTTACCTAATGCTAGATGCTAGTGTCCCAGGTTGGGAGGTTATGGGAGAGGGTCATGTGAAAAGAAAAGGTGCAGCTCCAGTATCTTTTGTATGAAAATAGTATGGAAACACTGCCTACAATTGAACACAAAGTCTAAACTAGTCCACATGATATGGTAAATATCTCCTTAGCAACTACTAGCCATTTCATTACATTGAACAAAATGAAAGCCACCGGATGTAGTAGATGGTGACCACCCCCAGGTTCATGTTCAAACAGAGTGTGCTGGCACATGTCCCTGACAACTACTTTCATACTTTGCCTGATTTGAGCCATTGCACCAGCCCATACTATATGCTAACCATTATTTAGAACTCAAACCAGGTTGCGGATTCAATTCCCCCTAAGGGCCAGCTGCCTACTCCTGCATTGCAGCAGTGTTGGACTAGATGATCCTCAGGGCCCCTTCCAATTATGCTATTCTATGATTTATTAATTTCCAGATACCCAACAAACAAGCCATAGTTTAGAGCTGCTTGTCTGCTTTTTGTTTTCTGTCTGCTTAGCACTTATTAAATCTACTCCTATCTCTGTGGAACAGGAACTTCTGGAGGTGGAGTTGACAGCTGGGACACTGGTTTGCTTTTCAATTTGAGCATCATGCCAGAGCATACTTTGCAATCCGACTTCAAACTATGCTTTCAGATCCTGTTTTACTGGTTGATCAAAACAACATCATTTGGCATGCTTGAGTTTTTCTGTGTACTATAGGAAATTACTTTCAGCTCACCAGAAGAGAAGAGTGTCACTATCTATAAAAATATTGTTTTGAGTTGCTTATTACTTAATTGTGTGAAGATTAAACCAGTTGTCACTGACTTTTGCCAAATCTTCCCCCCTGTGAAGACTTTCTTTCTAAGCTGCAGGGTGCATTTTTTACAAAGTATTTACTTAACTAAACAGTGATCTGTTAATATTACTAGTAGTCAGTTGGTTTAAAATAAATGCAAGTAGTTACTGCAGCTCTGTAACTCAGACCTGTATTTTAAATATTTTATTAGTCATTTTCTGGTGGTGGATACAGATTGGGGAAGTCAACTATGAAGCGCTCTGAATATATCTATGGAGAAAATCAGTTTGGACAAGATGTAAGTATAAATACGATGAACATAATTTCCTGTTACATGCAAGAGATAATTAACTTTAGGAACCCTGTCTGCGTAACATATGACATACCCAACTGCAAGAGTATTTCCTGATAGCTTGTTCCTTATATCACCAATATATACCTAGATAATTTTATAGAACCATAAGTTTCATTTGACAATAATAATTTTTTGAACTCCAGAGATGCAAAAACAAATATTTTAAAGGGAATGTAATTACTTCTGTACTAGGGACTCAGAGTGAGTTTTAGAGTGAGTTAGGGGAAAGGAATCAAGCTGCTTCTCTTATTGATCAGAGCTCCTATTTGAATAAAAGCTTCACTTTAAGTGATATGTCCAAAATATAAGATCTTAGTCCTTAAGCCAATGTATATGAAGTGAAAGATACGAAGTGATACCCTCTAACTCAGGGGTCAGCAAACTTTTTAAGTAGTCCACTGTCCCTTCAGACCTTGAGGGGGGCCGGACTATATTGGGGAGGGGGGAGATGAACGAATTCCTGTGCCCCACAAATAACCCAGAGATGCATTTTAAATAAAAAGACACATTCTACTCATGTAAAAACACGCCCATTCCCGAACTGTTTGCAGGGCGGATTTAGAAGGTGATTGGGCCGGATCTGGCCCCTGAGCCTTAATTTGCCTACCCATGCTCTAACTAGACTGCATGCCGTATTTGTGGTTTCTTCTGAATGAACAATAGAATACATTACCATGTGTTGCCTGTCCACATCATGGTTGGCACTAGCAAATACCATCCCATTGTCTTCCTTGTTGGTTAATGTTTCATAAGGGCAGTGAGGATTCGTGTGTGAGAATTCCCATGCAGTGAAGAGAGTGAGGCAGTCCTTGCTCATAAAGAGCTACAGAGGCACAGCAGAGCTCTTCTGGACACTGAGTTGGAGCTAATGTGTCTTTGATTACATTCTGATGGCATAAATTCATAGGCAAGTGCAACACATTCCTTTTAGACTATGGGTTGTACCCAATGTTAGTTCTACACATAGTACGCATAGTAGATGCATTGAAATTAATGGACATGACTCACTTGGGTCCATTACTTTTAATGGGTCTACTTTTTGAAGGCAGCCCTGTTTAGGGAAGCTTTTAATGTTTGATGGACTATTATATTTTAATATTTTGTTGGAAGCCGCCCAACAATACTATTATTATTACAGTGGTACCTTGGGATGCGAATGGGATCTGTTCCGGAGCCCCGTTCGCATTCCGAACAGAACGCAAGACGCGACGGCGCGTCTGCGTGGGTCGCATTTTGCCGCTTCTGTGCATGCGCGTGACGTCATTTTGAACGTCTGTGCATGCGCGAGCGGCGAAACCCGGAAGTAACCCACTCTGTTACTTCTGGGTTGCCGCGGAGCGCAACTCGAACGCACTCAACCTGAAGCACATTCAACTCGAGGTATGACTGTATAGCTGAATAGAATGTTTAGTATTGTAATACTGGAAAACAAACCAAGATGAATATAATGATCAAACATCTGGTGTTACTTTTTTACATTTTCAAAGTACATCTGATTTATTCATAGGTTCAAATTTTACTTAAACTGTGGAGGAACGGTTTTAGTTTAGATGATGGAGAGCTGAGATCATACACGGATCCAGTGAATGCAGAGTTTCTTGAGTCTGTTAAAAGAGGGTAAGTTTATGGTATTTGTGACTATAGGAACACATTGCTTTCAGTGCAGTGGAAGAAACTGCAGCTGGAGAGGAAATCCAAGAAGCCTCAGTAGCTAAGTAGAAGTCCTAGGGTCAATTAAAGAGATGCTGCTTGGTTTGGAACACTCCCTTTTCCACAGGGTCTTCTGTTTTAAGTGATGGCCTTAGCAGTACCTAGGCAAGGCTTCAGTGGTACCCTAGACAGATCCATGCAGGAATCAGGCTAGATCATAAGACCCGAGCTCAGATATTGTTTCAGCAACCAAGTCTCAAATAGAGCTGCAGCTTCTATTTTGTCTGCCTTTGAAGAGAAGAGCATCTTAATTTATAGTGACCTAGTTTGCTTTTGTAGTAATTGACATGGATGGAGCGTAGTAGGCTGTTGATCCACTAGGGCAGAGGTTGGGAAACCTCAAGCCCAGGGGCTGAACGTGGCCCTCCAGGCCTCTGTCTCCATCACCAGGCCATGTACCATACCAGCCCCATTCTTCACCCTCCTCAAGTGCTTTCTCCTGGTTGAAATGTGGCCTTGAACTATGATAATGCATCCTGCTTACCTGGATAAAGAGATAAGCCTCTTAGCTGCAATATAGCCTACTCTACAAAGGTGAGAGCTGCATCTCTTTTTTCCAGCCTCACCCACAACTGGGATGCAGCTCCTTCAAGGTTGCCCATGAGGCAATGAAGCCCTCAGGCTGTAAAACGTTCCCCATTCCTGCACTAGGTCTTCTGAACTGAGTCTGAGGAAGGCAACATGGCGTCCTCACCCTGTAGAGGTATTGCCACAACCAGCTCTTCTGGTGAAGTGTTTCTGTTTGGCTGTTTACATCTTGAACTGGGAGCAATTCCCTCCCCAAATCTCCAGCTGAACTGCTTGAAGAAGAGTTTTATTTTTTTAAGAGTGAGAGATTGGTCTCAGGATCAGAGGGTTTAGCATTTGGAGCACTAGACCATTTTGATAAAGAAAGGACAAATATTTAGGGAAGGGATGGTAATTTGCAACCAGGTGGCACCAAAAACAAGCTGTTTCCAGATCAAGGGAATAGATCACAATTACCAGGGAAGTCCATATATCCCATAAATGACATGTGAGGAAGCGTGTTTATTATATATGTTGCTTTATGGAAAGGGTAGGTTTTGATAGAGGACTTTTTGTAATAAAAATGTACCAAGAAGCATTTTCTGTTACTAGGGGCTGTATCATCCTCAGCCACTGAATAGGATATGAATACCCAGCCCTGTAACATGGTGATGACTCTTCTAGACAGTCTTTTATTTTCAGTCTGCGGCTTCAACATGTAGCAAGTGAAGTACATATAATTTTGCCTTTCTCCCCCCACCCCTTCCTGACCATAATTTAGCCTGTAGCATTTCTTATGCATGCCTGATTAACAGCACAATACTATACATGTCTATTGAAATGTAAGTCTTTTTGGTTCTTATTCTGTGATAAGCGTGTATAGGATTATATCTTAAATAAGCCTGTTTATCTGCATTATGGAATGTATGTGCAGATAATGGAGAAGATTAGAGCATAGTGGATTTGAACTATTGTTGTTATCATTATTTCATATTTTAATGATGTGATCCAGACAAAATTGAATACTTTTCAGTTTCATCACTTGCTCTTTATGCTCTTGCATAAATCAATAAACTTGCTTAAATTGAATATTTCCCCTTTTCTTTTTGCTGTTAAGAGAGATTCCTGCAGAACTTCAACGTTTGGTGCATGGAGGCCAAGTTAATCTGGATATGGAAGACCACCAGGAGCAGGAATATGTAAGGCCTAGGTTGAGATTCAAAGCTTTCAGTGGAGAAGGCCAGAAACTTGGAAGGTTAATTTTTTTCAAAATCCTTGGTTTATAAAAATACAATTATCTTGTATTCTTGCCATTGATACAGTTGATGATTGGAGTATAAAATACCAAAGGTCATTCTATTATTTTCCCCACCCCGCTGCTGAAAACCACATTACCTCAGAAATCTGTTGGGGACTTTATACCAGTAGTGAACAGGGCTCAGCGCTACAGTCAAACCTCAGTTCCCAAACGCCTCCCTTTTGGAACATTTTGGCTCCCAAACGCCGAAAACCCAGAAGTAAGAGTTCTGGTTTTTGAACATTTTTCAGAAGCTGAACGTCCGACGGTGCTTCTGCAGCCAATCAGAAGCCGTGCCTCAGTTGTCAAACCTTTTGGAAGCCGAACGGGCTTCTGGAACGGATTACGTTTGACAACCAAGGTTTGACTGTATTGCCCTCTTGCTCATGCAGACCCATGTCTGACATGCATTCATTCCATTTTCTTTTGCCCCTCTTTTATCTGTGTCTCTCTTCCCCAACTACATCCTCCTTCTGCACCCCATGCAGCAATTAGACTGGAAAAATAGCTTCCACTGGCAGCTATGAAACCTTTTATTATACTTAGCCTAACTGCCATGTTGGGAGCGGGGGGGCTTAACTCTCTCCTCCTTGTGTCTCCTCACAAAAGTCTCCCCCTGCCCAACAAACAGCAATTCATTGCTGAGTGGAAGGGGAGGCAGGATGAAAGTGTAGCCCTGCTGGCCACATCTGGCCTACAGGCTGCAGCTGCCCCACCCCTGCCATAGGTCTTCTGCATGCTGTGCAGACTATATGCTTCTCACTTGCCACTCCATTCCAACAGTTTGTTTTAATCTTTTAAGTTAATCTTAACATTTGAGTTTGGTTACTTTACAAAAGCAATTAGACTAAGGATGCTCAGTGGGACTGAGTAAACATGCATAAGATTGGGCTGTTCCTCGTTTGGAGCTTTTCTCCTCCAAGCTAATGGTAATTATATGCCTGGTATTGTTAAATGAAATACATTTCAATTGCTCTGCTGTTTTTCCTTTATTATTGAAGGCTGGCAGGTTATGGATGTTGGGTTGGATCTAGATTTCCCTGGAGCAGAGTTCTGCTTCAAGGACAGTCTGCTGGAGGAAAGGGACTAGGAATTTATTTTGTCAGTTTCTTCTTCCTCTTGAAAAACTGTTCCAGAGAATTGGGGGACTCTCTGGAACTATGTTGCAAGTACAGTGGTACCTCGGGTTAGGAACTTGATTCGTTCCAGAGGTCCGTTCTTAACCTGAAACCATTCTTAACCTGAGGTACCACTTTAGCTAATGGGGCCTTGCGCTGCCGCCATGCCGCCGCTGCACGATTTCTGTTCTCATCCTGGGGCAAAGTTCTTAACCCGAGGTACTACTTCCAGGTTAGCAGAGTTTGTAACGCGAAGTGTTTGTAACCCGATGTATTTGTAACCCAAGGTACTACTGTAGTTCTTGGAGCTGAAGAGGGAATTGATGAAAATTGCCTTCCCTCTGCTGGAATGGTAGTTCTTCCATTAACAGACAGAGCCGTTTTTCTGTTTGCAGAAGGGCATGTCTGAACATCCTTTTATGGCTGTTGGAAGTTTACATATACTGGTCCAGAATATGCAATAGCACTATGTTCTTTTTGACTGTATTCTGTTAGTGTTGAGATTTCTTACTGCTTTCTGACATATTATACAATAATTGGCACTGCGCTTAATTACAAAATGCAATGTTAGAAGTGTGGAGAGGTGCAAAGAAAAGCTAATTTGTCCAAGGCTAGGGGGCGCAATTTGGATGGTTCTGCAAGATCACCTAGCTATGGGTCTGGTGGTAGAGCATCTGCTTTGCATCCAGGACATCCCTGATTCAATCCTCAGCATCTCAGGGTACTGCTGACAAAGGCTACTGGTTTGAAACCCTAGAAAGCAGCTGTATATCAGTGTACACAGTACTGAGCTAGACGGACCAGTGGTCTGACTTGGCATAATAAGACAGTTATGTATGTTCTTATTTTATTTTATAGTTTGTGAGTGTAGATTTACAGTGGTACCTCAGGTTACAGATGCTTCAGGTTACAGACTCCACTAACCCAGAAATAGTACCTCGGGTTAAGAACTTTGCTTCAGGATGAGAACAGAAATTGCGGCGCAGCGGCAACAGGAGACCCCATTAGTTAAAATGGTACCTCAGGTTAAGAACAGTTCAGGTTAAGAACGGACCTGCAGAACGAATTAAGTTCTTAACCTGAGGCACCACTGTACTTATAACTAGTCCCTTAATGTTTTTAACATCCAGTTCAAATCCTTTTCTTTGTATTAAACAAATACAAAAGCACAAAATTTAACTAATTATGTTTTGTTGAATTGTATGAGGTACTGAGGAAGGCAAGAGAGCATTTTTAGAAGGCACCCTTGCACTCTCTTTGTAGACACATTCATTTGCAAGTAAGGCCCATTGACTTCAGTGGTACTGGTTGGCTTGTAGATAAAGTCTTTAACATTTCAACTGTCTTTCAACTTTTTCACTTGTTTCTTAATTTTAGCCTTACACCTGAGATTGTCAGTACACCATCTTCCCCAGAGGAAGAAGAAAAATCCTTCCTTGATGCTGTGGTTCTGATCGATGACTCTGTGCCAACAACTAAGATTCAGATTAGGCTAGCAGATGGAAGTCGTTTAATACAAAGATTTAATCATACCCATAGGTAAGCTTAACTGTTTAACTGTACTGAAACATTGGATCTTAGTTCCAGATTATCACAACTTGTCATCTGAAGCTTATTGCCAGTATTCGGAGCTGATGAGTGGTTTGTTTTTAAAGTGCAGAGCATATTGTATTGATCCAAAGACTAAAATATACATTGTTATACTTTTGTCAATAGGATTATAGATATTCGGAACTTTATTATCCAGTCTCGCCCTTTGTTTGCCACCACTGACTTTGTGCTTCTGACTACATTTCCACACAAAGAGCTTACAGATGAAAGCCTGACACTACAAGAATCAGATATTCTGAACACTGTGATTCTTCAGCAGCTAAAGTAAATCTTGAGCCTTTCAGTGCAATATCGCTTCTGTGAATGGATAGTATTGCATATTGTTCCTCAAAAATGCTTCCAAGGAGAAAGGGGAAAAAATGACAGAGGAAAACTAACCGTTTCCCACTTTAATGGATCAACTGGCATTTAGTACTGTTCTGTCTTCCAGTGATAATTCGTCTGAATTGGAATTCAGAGATATGCTAATAAATATGAATTGATTTTTGTATTCTTCCAAAACAGCCTGTATAAACTGGTGTGAATTCAAGTACTTCTTTTATTGGGTGGGGGTGAGGGTTGGGGGTAATTTATAAGGGTGCAGAAGCCATTTTTGTAGAAAGAGAAAGGGCCTCTTTTCTGGTAAGACTTGAACTGTGGAAGAATTTTATGCTGCATCAGCTAACAGCCATTAAGAATTTAGGGTTGCAATCCTATGCTCCTTTATTTGAGAGTAAGCTCGTTGATCTCATTGGGATTTTCCTCTGAATAGACACTAACAGGATTGCACTATTTTATCAGCTGAGATATGTGTATGCCCCATCGTATGAAATATTGGAAATATTCTGTTATATAGGTTGTCTTCCACATATCTAGCATAATATAAACACATTCTTTAATCTAGTGCTAGTGAGATATTTGGCCTGTTGCGCAGCTCTTATGTCTGGGAATTCAACAATATATGGTGGGACATCACTGTCTGCTTAAATAGAAGTCCAATTTGCACCTTATCGTATTCAAATATCTGGCCAATATGTTGCTTAAAGTAACTTAAAGTTTTAACATAAAGACAATTAGACCGATATCATTTCTATACAGATTGTTAATAGTTGGCTTAATTTGAATCCTGAGACTCTTTTTAGAAAAGTAGTCTTTTTGGAGAACCTTTAGCTATATATCTCATGCTCAGTATTATTTGAATGATGAAAAATGGCACTTCCAGTATAGCTTGTTGCTGTTTTTCAAAGCAAAAATGAAGAAGGGGGATACATGAAGAGAAGTGTGTCTTACGTCAAAATTGGTGTGTGGTTTTTTTTTAAACTATAAATATTTTTTCTGACTAATTTTGTGTTGGTCAACCATGTTTTTTTTCCGTTTGATCTGTATAGCAGCTTCCCTTGAAATTCACACATGTGTATATATATATATATATATATATATATATATATATATACATTTCAGAGTTACAAACATTTCAAACAAATATTTGAAAAGGTTTAGTAGAACTTGGGGGAAGATTTTGTAAATCTAATGTCTGCATGATTGAACCAATTGCAAATTCTCCTGTGGTAATCAATAAAAAGAATGTTTTAACTATATTGCTTCTACATGTTTTTTATATTTCATTTTCTTTAAAAAAAAAAAGTGGAAATGTGCCTGTGTCTGAGTATGTGCCTGCTTTGAATCTGAGGAACAGGTAAGTGGAACCACAAGACAGCTAATGGGTTTTAAGTTAACTTTTTGAAGACAATGGTGCTTGAGTGTAACCCATTGTAACCCAAGTGTTACCATTCAGATGAACTAGGTACATGCCCAAGATTCCATGCCCCAGGACTTGACACAAGGGTAGGACAATATTGTATGAGTGTGTGTGTAGAGGTCTGAGGCATTGTGCTGCTGCTGCTGCTCCTAACATCGCCAAGTAAGATCTACCGTATTTTTTGCACCATAACACTCATTTTTTTCCTCCTAGAAAGTAAGGGGAAATGTCTGTGCGTGTTATGGAGCGAATGCCTGCGGGTGGCGGGGGGGGGGTCTACTGCAGTCGTGAGCAGAGGATCCATGGTTCCCCTTCCTTTCCTCCTCCGTGGTTACAAAGCATGGATCCACATGGATCCACAGGATTTTTGCATTGGGCTACTCCAAACTCACTGTCAGATCACATGTCTGTGGCCACAGCATGAACCACAAAAATCATATATCCACTATTTCGTTTAGAATATTTTTTTTCTTGTTTTCCTCCTCTAAAAACTACGTGCGTGTTATGGTCTGGTGCGTGTTATAGAGCGAAAAATGCGGTATTTTACTCCCTCTTCTGCCCATCCTCAGCCTACTGGTGCTTCTAAAGTGGGTAGAACCACCACCTCTCCCTTTTGCAATTCAAATTCCAGCCTTAGGGCTTTCTGAGGTACTTAGAATACAGCCCAGGTGCAGACACTTATAGGCTTGTGCTGTAATGTGATTGAGAGGAAAAGAAAGCAATGTTTTCAAATGGCTGCTTGTGGGGTGGAACTGAAGATAAATTTGGGTGGGATTCCTTAACTAACAAAGTGTCTGTTTCAATTGGGGTATATTAAAACATTTTTTTAAAGCCCCATGCTAACTTGAGTAGGCATGGCTTGTAAAATGTTAGCAACAAGCTCGTTAACTTTTCAAACAGTAAAGCGGTGAAAACCAGTCATACTGGAGAATAGTCCCTTTAACTTTCCCTTTAAATTTCGTCTCGACTCAAAGGCAGGTTAGGAGAAAGAAGCTTTTGTAAAGGGATGCAAACAGTTAAAAGCAGACAGTACAGAAGCACCTTTAACATTTCATTTCTACTACAAGCCAAGCTGTGTGGTGAAGGCTGGAGATGGAGGACAGTGCAGGTAAAGTTTTTGCTTTACATTAACCAAAACAAAATCTGTTTTTCTAAGTCACTCACTAGATATTTTATTAATGTATTCATTTTGTTTAAATAAAAATAAGTGTGGTCTTCTTGGTTTAGCAGCCAGCAAGCTTCTCAATAAGTCCTTACCTTGAAATAACCCTTGAGGCCTAACTTCCTACCTTTCTTGCTTACCAAAAGGGAACATTACCTCATATGCCTTAAAGCATTTCTCCCACGGAGAGCCTCAAGGTCCATAAATAGCAACACCCTAGTGGTCCCGGGCCCTAAGGAAGTTAGATTAGCTTCAACCAGAGCCAGGGCCTTTTCAACTCTGGCTCCGGCCTGGTGGAATGCTCTGCCTCATGAGACCAGGGCCCTGCAGGATCTGATTTCTTTCCGCAGGGCCTGTAAGACAGAGTTGTTCCGCCTGGCCTTTGGCTTGGAGCCAGTTTGATTCCCTCCCTCCCTCTCTTTCTTTTTTCTTTTCCTTCTCCTCCTGCGATGAGGCTACATTTTAATATTCCATTATTTTAATGTTGTATTTTATTTTTGTTTTTAAGTTGTAATCATTCATCTTGTTTTTATTATTGCTTGTAAGCCGTTCTGAGCCTGGCCTTGGCTGGGGAGGGCGGGGTATAAAAAAATATATATATTATGATAATTATTATAAATTCATTTTGAGAGAATATCTTCATTATCAGTTATTATAAGGCCTTTTGTTTTGGTCAAATACCAAAATTAGAAATAATACAAATTACAGCATTTGTGACTTGCAGAATTTGGTGTTCATGATTTCTTCTGAGCTAAACCTGGAGAAGATTAACTGATAAATCAGTTAGTCAGGGATAGGAATTGTTAAGTAGCATTGGTCCCATGATTAACCAGTACTGCTTTACTTGGATTTAAGCCAATCTACATAAAAAGGTGCCATCCAGCTTGGAGGCTGTTTTCAACCTTTAGTCTCTTGCAAAACCTTTAATGTAGATGAACACAGTGGTGGCTGCAGCCCTTGTTAGTGCAATGAGCATAAAAAATTAAACAGAATTAACTTTAAATTAGGCAGGCTTTTTGGATAAGAAGGATATTACAGCTGAATTCTTGCTAATTATTTAACAACTTCAGTAGAATGTTGCATATTACTATCAATTTCAGTTTTTAATAAAGTTGATTTAGCATTCTCCTCTGTCCAAGGGGCCTCTTTGACAGCTGTGTCAATGTGATTTCTTATTCCTGTCACAGTGACATGAGAAGTTACGTCAGCTGATCACCTCTCTGCCAAACACCTATTAACCATGAAACTCTTTAAAGCCACTGTCTGGGTACTTTAAAGAAGCTGCCTACTAATGATGAGATATCATATGTGGCAAGTATGACTCTATGGGTGCTCATTCAAAAACATCCAGGAACTTAAGCTTGTGCTTTGAGATTGTACATGAAGCACATACACAGGAATAAATAGCACGAGAGAGAGAGATAGAGGGAGCAATGCTTAAAATTTCCTGCATGTCACTCCTCCATGATATTATTAGGTGACATGAAATGGCAGAATTCATAATCACATTTGTGATTACAATACAGATGACTTACATGCTTTTGATACTAGGAAAATTCATGAGGAATTTAAAACATTTTAGCAATCCTTATATTCTCCAGTCCCTACAAATTAATCTGACACAAAAAAACTTATATCAGGTACTATCTACAGAACAAAATTTCTTCCTAAATTCGAGAATTACTGAAGATGAAATCAATAAAACTTGTGATGTGAGATCATCTCAAATAATTTTTCTTACAAAATTGTTGTCAACTCTTATAGACCAATCAATTTGTTAAATCAAGATAAAAATAATTCATAGCTGTACAGTCATACCTCACGTTACGTCTGCTTCAGGTTGCATGTTTTCGTCTTGTGTCCCGCAGCAACCCAGAAGCACCGGAATGGGTTACTTCCAGGTTTCGCCGCATGTGCAGAAGTGCCAAATCGCACTGCGCACCTGCACACATGTGGCGCTTCGAGTTGCAGGCTTTTCATGTTACGGATGGGCCTCCAGAACGGATCCTGTCCGTAACACGAGGTACCACTGTACTTGCTAATCATTTGAGTACAATCCTACCATCATTGGCCCATCAAGATCAAGTGTGGTATATTAAGGGTAGGCAAATATCAGATCCAATTCACAGACTATTAAATATTATATGGCATAGCAAACAACATGGAATACATTTAGCTATTTTAAAATTACTGTAGATGCATTGAAAGCTTTTGATTCATTAAAATGGTCTTTTTAAACTGCAGCATTAGAACGGTTTCATTTTAGAAGTAGATTCTTAAAGACTTTTCACAAAGTATATTATAAAAGCATAGCCAGCATTAGACTAAATGCATTTGAAAATGGCTACATTAAAATTGGAAGAGGTACTAAACCAGACTGTCGTCTTCCTATGGAACCTCTGGCAACAGCAGTGAGGTTTCATAGTAAGAATTCAGGCATTAAGTGTCCTGAAATGGTTGGTGTACAACAGGGATGTCCAACCGGTCAACCGTGATTGACTGGACAATCCCCGGATGATGATTGCAGTTGATCGTAGGATCCCTATTGATCTGCAGTAGTGATAAGCAGCAGAGTTTAAGTGCCGCCCCCCGCCGTCGTTCAAATGGGTGTTTTGCCAAGTAGTTTGAAAACGAAAATAGTCGTTACTGTTGCATCATTTTTTAGGCGAGCGATGTCTTCCCCCCTTGTAAAAAAAAAGCTCCTCCTCCCTAAAAAAAAAGCTCAACTTTGGCTTTGCCCCCCCCCCCTTAATGGGTAGATCACTACTGGGAGTAGATTGCAGTCTTTTGGGAGTTGGACGTGCCTGGTGTACGACATAAAAATTTGTTTGCAGTTTATGTAGCTCTTTTGATTTCAGATCCATTTCATCCATCGCTAAGCTTAAAACTTTATTAATTCAATATGGACATCTATCTGGTTTCTCAGTCAAATACTCTAAAGTACATATTGACAACGTAAGCATTACATTCTAAGAATTCCTCAGTTTCAATCACCTGGCAACTACATGTGGCTCAATAATCAAGGTCTTTTTATATCTGTAAGGTGTTGCTTATATCTCTATGTCTTAACATAATATATTTTGTACTGTAATATTTCTGGGCATCTATTTAATGGAAATCACTTCTGTTGTTCAAAGGTTCAAGGATAATTGATGGTTCCATTTACTAGACAAGTGATTAAAGATACCTGGAGTACTGAAGGCCCTTGACCAGTGCTAGTCAAGGCTATATTTTCAAGGCTGACTGTTTATAGTCAAGGCTGACTGCTTATCAGCTAGCTACTGACAATACACCTTATCTGGTATATTGTAAAATACGTGTTCTTCTGTAAAGCTGATGTTGATAGCCTGAGGCTCAAACTACACATGACACGATGGCAGATCTCTGTGTTCAAACTTGAATCTGCCCCAAGCACATAGAAAGCAGAGTTGAGGCCTCACATGTCTGATCCCAGAAGTGAATAAATCTGGGATAAAAGCACATAAGCAAAGGGGCTGCAGAGGCTTAAGCAGCAAGCAAGGAGAGTGTTCATCACATTTCACCTGCAAGCCCCCTTTCTGTTCTTTAAATTGGGCTACCTATGTCATTGCAATAGATTCAGGTTAAAAGCATGTGTAGTTTGAGCCCGAGTTAGGATGGTGTAGTGGACAGGGTGTTAAATGTACAGCCATACCTTGGTAGTCAAACGCCTCAGTTGTCAAACAAATTGGCTCCCAACGTCGCAAACCCAGAAGTGAATGTTCCGGTTTGTGAACGTCTTTGGAAGCTGAATATCCGATGTGGCTTATGCGGCTTCTGATTGGCTGCAGGAAGCTCCTGTGCCTTGGTTTTCGGACCGTTTCGGGAGTCGAACGGACTCCCAGAATGGATTAAATTTGAGAACCAATGCACAACTGAACCCGTGATGTGAAATGACAAACAAAGCTAGAGTACTTGGTTTTAAAGGAGAATGTAAGAACAGTAAGCTGTTAGAATGGAGCGAATCTTTTGGACAGGGCCAGCCCAATACATTTTGGCACCTGAGGCAGACCACAAAATAGTGCCCCCCTCCCCACCAGGGAAGAAGGGTTGAGGGAAAATACACCAGGAACAAGCAGGGAAAGTTCTACATTGGGATCTGCTGCCCCTGTGGATTCTGCTGCCTGAGATGGTCGCCTCACCTTGCCTCCTAAGTGGGCCGGCCCTGCATTTGATACAAAGTCTGTGACAGGGCGTGGAATCATTTTCAGCCAAAGGCCCACAGCCCCTCCTGGGGAAGCTTCTGGGAGCTGCATAGGTAGGCAAGGTCAGAGGCAAAAGTGGGTGGAGCAGTAGCCTTTGTTCTAGTCATCCTAAAGTCAGAGGTTTCAGCACATCCAGCCATGCCTGGATCACATGGAGATCCAGGCATGCAAAAGGCATTATCACAGTTCGGGAGCATAACCTAGCCAAGCAAAACACACAAGGAAGGTGTGAAGCAGGGCCAGCAGTCTGGTGTGGCCTGAGTGGGAGAGAGTCTGCAGTGAGTCCCCTGAGCTGGCTAGAGAGCCCTGGAGGGTCATGTATGGCCCTAAGGCCTGAGGCTCCCCACCCCTGCCATATAGGAAGAGCAGGAAAAATATACTGGGTCTACATATACTACAAATTGTTCCTGGGATGGGAGAGGCTGACCCCTTTAGTTCAGGCACTGGGGACTTCAAGGTTGGATTATTGCAATGCACTGTGTGTAGGGCTTCCCTTTCACTTGGCTTGCAAACTCCAGTTAGTGCAGAATGCTGCAGCCCAGTGCCAGGCCTAATTTAGTGTGTGGGGTGGAGGTTCCCATTGCTGATTGAAATAAAACAAGGTAGGGTGCTTTAACTTTTCTACCACAGGACATTTCAAAAGTTGCCTGGGCACACGCCATTCAGCCACTGTAAAAAGGCAGTACATTCAAGTGTTTCCTGAGTTCAGATTTTTTCTGGAAAATGTTTGCATACTGTATGTCCCAATTCTCTTGAAGAAGCAATGAGCCCAGAGATGGCTTTAATGTTTGCTAGTCATACTTGCCATGTAGTGTTTGCATTCGGATAAAGACAGCTTGATAGAACACCTGCATAGAACAAACTTGCAAAAGGCATGTTCCAAGTTTTCACACTGTGTGTGCTCTGAGGCAGTTCTTGTAGCCTGTTTACTGTGCTGAAGTCCACAGGGGGTTGGATGCATTGCACTCCTCCTCACTGCACATAGGTCCAGAGCACCTAAGTTCCCCACTGCGTGGTCTCAGGAAGGTCATGAGACAGCAGAGTTGGTGGAACATTAGAACATGGGACTCTTACAGTTGTGGGTTCGAGTCCCACATAGGGCAAAAGATTCCTGCACTGCAGGGAATTGGACTAGATGACCCTTGTGGTTTCTTCCAACTCTACAACTCTGCAATTCTATGAGGAGGTCTCTAGCCAATCAAATCTCAAGGCCAGGTGACAGAGCTGACCCTCGTCAAAAATGGTTGTGGTGTTTCCCAGGAAATGTAAATTTAGATTTAATCCCAATTACGAAGCGTCGGACACGACTAAACAACAACAACAACACCCATGGATGGAGCTTTCTGTTTCTTTCCCAGAGTTAATAGCTAACTAGTGGTATATGCTTGCATTAGTTATAGTAAAGGTTCTGTAGACTTTTGTGGTAGACAATTTCCTACTGCTGTGGGAGGCAGTTCAGCCAGTGTAGCTTTTCCTGGTCCCTTTGCAATTCATTGCTCAGAGAGCAACACATAGTTGTAGGACACGTGCAGTAACTGAGCTACAGGGTAAACTGGGTGCTCCCTGTGGCTTTGCTAAATCTGACCACCCCGGCTTATCTAGTTAATGCTCCTGTTATCTAGTTAATGTGGCCTGCCAGAGATTTGAAGGAAGTCCACAAGGAAATGATAGCTCTCCTCCAATGTTTGCCAAGTGGTGATTGTTATTAATTAGCTAAGCAGAGCTTGCAAGTTTTGAGGCACTTCTCCTATAGACAGACAGTGAATGTATTATGCACACAAAATGGCACCATCTGCACACAAGATGGAGGTACCAGGAGGCTTTGGAGGTGGGGGTGGAGCCCCAAGGTTTGCAGAAGCCCAAAAAAACACCTCAGGGTGGAAAACTCAAGTGGAGGAGGGGGAGAGACCAAAACCAGCTTATTGAGGACAGATCATGGTCCATGTGCATGGAATGCTGACTGACTGGAAAAAAATTGAAGAGGAGGAGGAGGGGGGATGTAATGGAGTATTCTGGAAGTGGGTGAGGTTTGCTGACTGTAGCCCTGAACAGGAACTTTCCACACTACAATAGTACCTTTTCACTAGTGCCTTTTGAATATCAGGTGCTAGGGGGCAAAAAATTAGAGGGTTCTCAGAAAAATGAGAAATACATACATGCCTGCTTCTGTGTTTCCCAGAAGCATTGGCTTGGGAATGCCTGGAAATAAGAAACATAACCCACGTACAAGGCTTGGGAATTTTTCTTCCAGTTGCAACTGGGGAAGTCAGTGTCCAGTTGAATTTAGGAAACATCTATGTATCAGTAATTAATAAGCAGATTATTATGGCCTATGTTGCTACTTCATAAGTTAAAAGATGAATTTGACACTGTTGGTCGTCTTTTCATGAATTGCACTGAAAAATCCTTTGTATGTTCTCGGGTAATTTGGACAGAAGAGCCTTGTAAACTGAAGTTATTGCAGGTTAAGTAAACAGGAGGGTTCCGTTCTTCATATTAGGCAAACTGGTGTAGTTCTGTTGACTTTAATGATGAAAGGGTCAGGTGCCAGATGGGAATTAGCCAGAGTGGGGTTACTATTGTCTATTGGTACTCTAGGTCATAGCTGTCAACTTTTCCTTTTTCTTGCGAGGAATCCTATTCGGAATAAGGGAGTTTCCCTTAAAAAAAGGGAAACATTGACATCTATGCTCTAGGGAGAGAACATAGTACATATTTTTAACATATTTTGCTGTAATAGCGTGCTCAGTTTCTTGTAATATACAATATCTAAGGTCACTTGCAGATGGGCAATTTCGGTTTGGTGGCTTTCTCACTTTACCAGTTTTAAATTCCTGTTTCTGTGCTTTGAAACACAGTGGCCATTGCCACCAGCCAAGCAGCTTTAATGAAAATTAATCATTTCACTGCAATGTCTTTATTGAAACTCGTAAGTTTAATAAACACATTTTTGTATGTGGTTTTGACAAATATACACATTTTACAAGCCATTTGGAGAGTGACAGTTTTGGAGGATGACTGTGTTTTGGATCATAATCATGATTTGAAAATTGCGGATTAGGTAGATTTGCCTTTAAATGCAAACTGAGTCAAATTTGTTCTCCATCCCTACTTCCAGTAAGCCCATTTATTGAGCATTTCATCTGGTTAGAGTACATCAAGGAACTGTTATCCCACACTTTCCAGTGCTTTTTCTCATCACTTTCCTTATCGCAAAAAAACAATTTTTTGAGAGAAGTGGATTTCTTGTGCGATACCTCAAAATCGACTTTAATTGCACAGCCTGAATTTGCCAGTATGTGGTTGAATCCCAGCCAAAAATGGTATTTTGTAAGCACCCTGTTTTTTGTTCCCTGATAGTGTTGCTACATAATTATAAGCAAAACATCCCACCAGCTGTTTGCTCATGAGCAAGGATAGCACTTTTTCTGAGTTTTGCCCAAGATCATTATTTGCATCCCCATGGCTGAGTTATTTATTTGCTTGCTTATATATTTCACAAGATTGATCAGACACCTTTGAAAAGTGATTGAGATATTTTATTGAAGAAAATGTAATGAACAGAAATAAACAATGTACACATACACACCTCATTTGGAGAAATGTGAAGGTTGGAACATGATACATTTAAGAATCTTGAATGCCCAGCATATAGTAGCCTTAAATAAGCACCATCCCTGCCTGCATAAGCATTTTATCCTCTTCCAAAGATCAGGACAAGTTTTGTACCAACTGCCCTGATGACGCTAAATCATAACCCCTTTTTGTCTGTTTGTTTGCGGCATTGTGCAACCAGCTTCTACAGAAAGAGATAAAGTAACCTCTTCGTCAGCTCAGAAGCTTGGTCACTTATTTACTTACTTGCAATACATATATACATATATTTAACCAAATACCTATGGTAAAAAACAACAACACAGAACATTCAAACAGATTAAACAACCATTGGTTTAAACAACAGTTCCCACCCCATTTTTCACCTGTTGCAGCCCACTCACTCCCCCTCTGCCTCTCACGCAAGGAGGGCTTCACTCTGTGACAACAGACTCATGCTGGGACCTTTCATCCCTATTCTGCAATCCATTCAGGCTCTTATCCTGAGCAGTATTTTTTAATACTTATGAATGGTTGCCTACAGGTATCCACAGCAAGAAGCATCTCACCCCTTGTCTATAGCCAAAAAGCAAACACAAAATAAAAAGATGGTGTCAATAAGGCCCAGATGCTTTTTCTCTCCCCTTCTCAGTCCTGACAAAAATCACAGGCCTCAAAATCAGTAGCGGGATATACAGGTGATTTGCTGGTCTCTTCCATCTCTCTTGTACCTGCCAGCACAAAACTGTGTTCTCCGAACACACGTTCCTCACATTGACACCCCTACTATGACTCAAAAGCTCCACTGGAGACCCAGCAGTAGCACATAGAGTAGATATGTATAGTATTTCTTGTTATTTTTGAGCCTATAAAAAAAGGAAACATTTTCTATACAACCATATTAAGCAACATAGTTTCTCCCAGCCCTCATTATTCCTCCTAATGCATTCCATTGCCATCATTGCATGAATTTTTTTACCCCTGTGGGGACCAAATACACAAACAACATTTTTCTTCCACACATTCATAGGCATTTTAATCTGTACTTGAAATCAATGTCACTTGTAGGTTGTAAAACACCAAGTCCGACCCGCGATTGGTCTAAAGACGGGCATGTCACATTCTTGTCAAGAAGCTCCACTTCAAAATAAGATAGCAATAAAGTCAAAAATTGTTTAATTTCATGAACGGCCAATAATCTTCCAGGACATTTTGCAAGTCCCATTCCAAAAGGCATATAATAATATTTTAATTTGCGACCATTGCGGTAAAAAGTGGTCTTTTCCTTTCCATTTTCCTCAAGATAGCGGTCATACTTGTATGTCTGCAAAAAAAAGTCCAAAATAATGCAGTTTTAAACTCAACATCATTTAGGAAGCATAAGATTATTTCAGATTTGCAAATGAAATATTAATGTGTGTTCATCTTCCTTAATACTTTAAATTGGATTTGTATACGAGTTCCTCTAAAAGCTTGAGTTGCCAAATGTTCTACCATTCTTTTTCAATAAAGATAAAATAAATTCATCTCAGTTAATTATTGAAATACAAAATAAATTACAGCTAGCAGTTCTGTAATTATTAAAGTATTAATCAACTCTTTTGTGCTCATGAAATTGGAAAAGGAGAGGGAACATTTTTAATCATAATTTTTTACCAAAGTTTCTGCTTGTTTGGCATACAACTGCTGGTGCTAAATGTTCCTTCCTTGCTTCACTCCAGAATGCCTTTTAAAGAGCTCTGGAATTCATCTAGCAAAACACCAGCACTTGTGTGCAATAAGAGGCAACAATATTGATGTCAAGTGGTTGGCTGCAAGCACTAAGGCAATTCTGCTGATGTTCGCAGCTTTGTTTTGAAGCTGTCAATTACTCACCAGGGGGTCAGAGTAGATTTCTGGATCAAAATGCAACAGCTGGGAATAAAGAGCTATGGTGTCATCTTTGCGGATATTGTAGGAGTTGCTGCCTAATTGCAAAACGAAATCTTCCTTAGCAACTCTGACTGTCATAGATGCACTGGAGAGCCTTATTGCTTCCTTGATAACACTATCTGTGTAGGAAAGAAAGAAAGAGAAACCTTCAACCTAGATACAGTATACACAGGTGTGCTGCTGCTCAGATTGCAAAATTCAAAGTAATGTGATGGACACAAATAAAAGAAAGTCAATGGGGAGAACAACAAAATTCCTTGGAATTTGTATGCTTCCACCAAATGCTATTGTAGTTAGAAAGAAACTGATTGTTGTCACATATTTAGGATAACATGACTGTAACTAAGAGCATTAGAGAACTGATCAGTTTCAATCATATAATGGTTCCTAAATATTGGAATATGTTATTTTATCGTTAGTATGTAAAAGTAGAGGATTCAGGTTAAGCAACTATACCTAATATAGGCATATCATCCAGCTGTTTCCGGTTCAAAGAAATAGGTTTCCTGGTCGAGTCTATCTTTATCTCAGCATCTTCTAACACCCGTTGCACCTCTTCAATAGCTGCTTCCATTGCTTTTGGATTCCTGAAATTTAAAAAGTACAATTTTTTAACTTTTTTTTTTTACTTTTACTTTTTTACCTGAAACCATAGTACAATTATCACTATAATCTAGTCCATGCAATTAGTGCAAGAAAAAGAAAGTGCGAGTCATTGTCTGCAGGTGCATCCAAAAGCAGGGGAGAGTTGCAGGCAGGCCTGAATTATCAAGGATGGCATGATCATCTAGTTGTATCTTGGAGGCTTTGAGAGATCCAAGCTGGGATTGCCTGCTCTAGGTACCCTGGCCCTAGCACTGAATGTTGTTTTTCATACCAACTCAGTATGAAATGACCACTTTGAACCACACCCTCCAAACATGTAACACCTACCTAAGTAACTTGCTTTTGGCCAAACCCTCATGCCCGTCCCCACTCCTGGGAAATATACAAGCAGGACATCAGGGCAATAGCCATCTTCAATTACAGTTGTACCTTCAGGTTACAGACTCCACTAACCCAGAAATAGTACCTCGGGTTAAGAACTTTGCTTCAGGATGAGAACAGAAATCACGTGGTGGCACGGCGGCAGCGGGAGGCCCCATTAGCTAAAGTGATACCTCAGGTTAAGAACAGTTTCAGGTTAAGAACGGATCTCTGGAACAAATTAAGTTCTTAACATGAGGTACCACTGTATTTGTTTGTCCCCAGAATCTAGTTTTTAGATGTGCATCGCTTCTGAACATGGAGCTACCATAACTAAGGACAACTCTGGGATAGCAGAGGGAGAGGTAAAAAGAACAAAAGAAATAAAGGTGCAGTCTTCATCCCACTCACCTGGGAGTAAGCCCCATTGAATTCAATAGGACTTACTTTTGAGTAGACATCATTAGGCTTGCACTGTCCAAGACCAGTGCAGGGAAATGCAGCTCATGAGCGGCGACATGTCCACCACGTTACGTTCCATCTGGTAAATGGTAAGCCAAAGTCTGTAGCATGGGAAATGTAGCTACTTACCTAATAAGAAAGAATAAAGTCCAAAAGGTTGCAGGTATTGTGTTAGACTGTGAAGCCCACAGAACTGCAAGGTGGGTCTTTGCTTTTTCCTTTTCATCAAAAGTGGAGAGAGTATCATTGAAGAACATGCGGAGGGAAATGAGCTCAGATATGTTTTTTCTTTTTTTAAGGGTCTTGTGGAGCAGAGCATCAGCTAGCTTCTCTCGTGCACTGCGGGCACCTTTGAACAGGTGGATTGGTAGGCCTGCCACAAGGGCCGGAATGACTTGGTCAAATACCTTGAAGTTCTCCAGGGTACTGAGGATAAATGCTCTGTGGGCTTCTTGGTTGGCAGAAAGGCCCTTGTCATGGCCCACTGGGTTAAAATCTGTGCCAAACAGTGTTAGAAACCCAGCTTCAAACATCACACGGCAGCAGAATTCATAAAGTTTATCAGTTACCCAGTCACTGGAGTCAATTCTCGATGCATTTGGTTCTACCATGACATAGTGCAGGTTTTCCTTCATGGACTCAGCGAGAAAGGTTAATGCATTACCCTGCAGATTTTTGGTGAAGGTCTGGTGTATATTCTCAGTGGTGTTTCCATCATCTGGGTCAATACTACCATGTCCAAATGCCTGTTGTGAAAAAATGGGGAATGTTACAATTTATTCACAATTTATTATTTATCCGATCCCTTCCCCCTGCCCACACCTCTGCCTGCTGGCATGTGGGAGCAAAATAGTTACTCAGGCAGGCAGGCACAGCCCTTTGCATCTCATAGGGTACCATTTATGAAAAGCATTCCACCTCTGAGGGCCTTTGTTGGGAGGCTGCACCTTGAGATACAGCTGAAAAGCTGTGTCTAAGCAGAAAACTGCCTGCAGCGCTTTGGATGCTGCCCTAAGTGAAGAATAATTTACAAGTGAAATCAGAGGCAAAATATTTTCTCCATAGTTTAGTACAGGAATAGAAATCATTAAACATGGATGTTGATGGATGTTGACAGATAAAGTATGACCACTTAGAACCCCTATCCAGTATCCATTTAAGGATTTGTAATTGTCTCCAAGAGGAGTTGGAACAGGCTGTAGTTTTGCCAAGGAGGATGGCAAAATGATATTAAGTACTAAATTTGAGAGTAATCCTAAATCTTTTCTTCCAGATTTCGAAATCCATCATCTTAATAGCTGTCTGGTGAAGACGGTTTATGTTTTAAGGAGGACAGTGAAGCCAATTAACCGTACAAACTTGCTGTTACCAATACTGAGCAATGCACGCACAAACACACACACACACACCTTGTAGAAATGTACTTCAACTTTCATAATAACATTCCAAATTTCATAGAAGACAATAGATAAGGCTTGGACACTGAACCAGTAATCCAGAGCATACTTGACTGGAAATAAGTACCACTGAGGGCACCCTCTTTTCCATGCTTACTTTGAAGAAAGCCCTACTGGACTCATTGGGCCTTAATCTAGGTTAGCATGGATGGAAATGGAGCCTGAATCAATCAGATTTAGGTTATGGTAAGACTCATCTGGTGGAACGTTAATCTGTGCATTGTTGCTGCCAATATGTATTAATTTACTTCAAATTAAAATAAAACTTACCTAGACATCAAAACAAATCAATTCATAGCAACTATATTGTAAACTAATATCTATTCCAGCAATCTGTGGTTCACAATCCTATACATGTTACTCATGAGTAAAGCCTAGGAATTTAAATGGGGCTTGCTTACTGCCAAGTAAGTGCACAAACAATGCAGCTTGATTTTCTTAAATGGACCAATATTGATTCATTTAAATATGTACTTAAAATCAATTTTCATGTACATTAAGGAAGGATTTAAGGCTCATTGTGGAGACAGTTATATTATTGAGATATGAATATTAAGGGAAACTAATTACAACTTAATGAGAACCTCGGGCTCCACTTCCAATTGCACTTTAAAAAGGTAAGAAGGATCTCCCTTAGCTCCATTAGGATCTGGCATGGTTTGGCAGCCCCAGAAAGAAGAGGAGAAGGAGGAACACGGAGGAACAGATGGGGAGGGGGGGAGGGCTGGATGGCTAACATGACTCCACATGAGAAAGAACGGGTAAAAGATTGGCTGGCTCTCTCCACCATCCCTCTCATGGAACACAGAGCTTCAGCAGGGAACTGGGAAGATTTGACCAGTCAGAGACAGAGGCTGATCAGGGCAAGGTGACATTGAAGCTGGAGACAGAGGGGCAGGACACAGTCTTGTCTCCAATAACCAGGTGCCACTATCATAGGTGGGATCAGGCACATCTGCACAGATGGATCATCCGTGTGCAGACATGGTAGCATCATAGTGTGAGATAGTCTTGTGAGAGAGCTCACTCCAGATCTTTAAAAGTTGGTGGGAGGAGCACTTCAACTGTCAGGGCATGTTCATAGCTTCCATTCAGTTATGAACTTCTGGTCTCGCTCGTGTACCTTGGAAACTTGACTTCTGGAGCTTGGGCTTGCTGCCAAGCCTGCACTGTTACTAGTCTGAGTAAAGATCATTTCAAGTAAGAGTCAATTTCAATCTGGTGGGTGGGGAACTTCCGGGCCCTAGGCCAAATTTGGCCCAGCAAGTGCCCCAGTTTGGCCTGTGACGCAAACTACGTCTCACTTGTAATGTCGGCTCAAATTTGCTGTTTGGTGGCACAACTTTTATATTGGGTATTTCTCCCTTCTTGGTGCATTTTAAGATCAGTAAGCTGATATTTGTTTAGCTTGCTCTGTTGTTTTAAGATGCCCAATAGTCTATTTTTGCACATATTTTGTTGCTGCTGATTTTATTTCATATTCCATAATTCTGGTGTCTGTATAGATGAAGGATAGACCATGAATATTTTTAACAGGTAAAGTTAAATGCTACCTTTGCAGAGATTGCAAAATGGAACTTTTTCCAGTCCAGGTGTTTTCCGTGTCCAATCACTGCATGATATGAAAAGGGGTCAGTGAGAAAATGAACATATTTTCCAGCCAATTTGCAAGTAAAAACGGGACCATATTTTTTTTGTCTTGTCCTGAGGAAGTTGAGAGGATTGGCACCAAACTGCAAAGCACAGCCAAGATACGGCAGTAGCCCATTCTCCAAGGGTGGCTCACTTGGACGTCTGCAAAAGGCAATATATACAAGGTGAAGATTATGGCTGTAAATTAATATACGACCTTCAAATCTGCTGCGCAAGAATCTATTTATTACACACATCCATCACTGCTAGAAGGAATTGCCCTCCTCTGAGTAATAAATGCACTAAGAAGGCAATAGATAACTGGCAAATAATGAGTTTGGTACAATACAGAAGCTTGTTATAGCCCTGACAAAGAGAATGCATCAGACACACTGTAAATCAAATTTGATGAAATTTACCTTTGCTTTTAAACATATCACTACTACCTTGTTTACTCTTGGTTGGTGTGTCTTTTTATTTTAAATAGAAATTGTAGTTCATGGCAAACTATGTTTACCTGGATAAGTTTTATTACCAAATGAATATTACAGAGCATGCATGTGTGTTGGGCAGAGTTGAGATATAAATACGTATTTTTAAATGTATTTTCTATGTGAAAGAAGCCACCTCTGAGAGTCTGCTAAGCCCAGACTTGGCAGCTGGTTTGCTGCCATAGATGCAGTATCTGTTGGGTTTGAGTGCTCTGCCTTGTTTGCTCTTTGGAACAATAGATCTACTAGTATTGCTGCTGTGTGTGCGTCTGTGTAGAAATCAAGCCTGCCAGCTTTAACTGTGTTGACTGTTCTGCATATCTACTACTCAACTACTGCTCTGATTTCAGAGCGAAGAGTCTCATGCAAAAGCAGCTGCTTGCATGCATAGCCAATGCACATGTCCACATTCACATTTTATTGTTAATTCAAGCCTCCTTGAACAGCCTGGTTGAATCTTTAGACGCCTACACAGATGTGTTCTCTCCCTCATCCAGTCATCAATAGTAATGCACATGTAAAACAGCAAGTAGGGAAAATTTAATGCAGTATTGTGGAGCGTTACTGATCATTAATCTCATGGGCAATCAAATAATCTGAACCCATCAAAGAAAGATAAATGAATTATTGTTGGCTTCTTTCACACTTAGAGCTTCATATTTGAACCAAGGTTGTAATTTGGGGCAAGGAACGGAAAGCACATGCTGAATTGCTATGTCTTTGGATATATTCCTCCATTTGGATGTCTGCTGCAGATTACATTTTAGTAGTACAACTTCTTATCGTTCAATAGAAAGCACACACAGATAACATTCATCTCTCTCTCTCTTTAATCTAACGAGCAAAAAACAGAAACAGTATAATGACAATGTAGGAAAAGTCATTAAGCATCCTGTTTACATTATTCAGACCAAAGGAACAACAATGCTAGCCACTTCTGATAAATTAGACACTCTTTATTCCAATTCACATAATTAATTAGCTGACACAGATATGTTGCATGCATTTGTTCCTTTTCTTTATATTTATTATGTGCCTAGTTTAAGTAATTGGGAGCATCTCACCTTTTTTGGAAAGCATGTACACATAAAAAGTGAATCATTAAATAAATAAATAAATAAACAAACTAGATACCACTAAACCAGACTGTTTTTGTTAAACATACTAATTTTATAAAATTATACATATGTTATATAATTATACACATTACTAATATATGAAAATATAATATATATCATTAATTTTAATTAACAAACACAAATGCTAATATTATGATTTTAAACAGAGAAGAAAACTTCATAAAATAATATATGAAAACAATCCTCCTTACCTCCTCCTAATTCCCAGAACAAGCCATAGCGTTAAGCACAGAATCACCACTATTCCCCATATCAAAAGCAATGAAACCATTTCAGACAATTATAGTGAAATGTCAAGTATGAAACAATGGTTTACACTGAAGCCTGAGACTGATATAGAAGACGACAAAGGGCCACTTTTTATATTCAGCAGGAACACCTATTAACTTAACTGTACTTAGGTAACCCATGTAAGCTATTAATTAACCATTTCTGGACAAAATTTCTGTGCCTGCTGTTGGACCAAAATCTATGTAAAGACCAAGAGAGAATTGGATTAGATACCTGAGATGGTGGCCTTGAGCTGATAACCACAGTGTCAGTGAGTGGCCAAAGTAATCAAAGAGCTTTAATAACTGATAATGTAAAGGTCTCTCAGACATGTTTTGATCTATTATGTAGATTTAGCAAGTACGGTTTATAGTTCAGTCTTAGCTGTAAGTGAATTAGCTGTTTAATGACCTTACCTCTGTTGTGTTGCCAAGTTTTGATTTCAATTTTTTGTTGTTATAGAAACAGGAGTGGCTAAGGATAAAAGTGATAGGTTGGCATGGGTCCAGGATTCAGTTTGATGAGTCACAGGAGGAGCCTAGCTGAATTGCTGATGCACTGAAATACCAAAGTCATTGCTAGATTAATGCTGATGCAGGAGAAAAACATTCTCATGTAGCCAATAGTGCTTATCCTGTTGAGTTTGTTCAGCTAATTTTTTCTGATTAATTTCTGGAGGTGTAGTGAAACTGAGGGACGCGGGTGGCGCTGTTGGTTAAACCACAGAGCCTAGGACTTGCCGATCAGAAAGTTGGCAGTTCTAATCCCCACGATGGGGTGAGCTCCTGTTGCTCGGTCCTTGCTCCTGCCAACCTAGCATTCGAAAGCACGTCAAAGTGCAAGTAGATAAATAGGTACCGCTCCGGTGGGAAGGTAAACGGCGTTTCCGTGCGCTGCTCTGGTTCGCCAGAAGCGGCTTAGTCATGCTGGCCAATAAAGCGAGATGAGCGCCGCAACCCCAGAGTCGGTCACGACTGGACCTAATGGTCAGGGGTCCCTTTACCTTTTCTTTAGTGAAACTGATGCTCATCATACTAGGAAAATATCTAGAAATGACTAGGTAAATTATGATTACCATGAGCAATTTTCATTCCTTAGCATGCACAAACTTAGGAAGTGGCCATATCGTGGGGGTAAATATGAACCATTTGACCCATGTGTGGGGGCTAAATAACAAAAGAATTGGATAGGTCCCTGGATTCAAAATGCGGGCTAAACTCACTGTCCAGCAGAAGAGAACCCCCAGTAGCACAGTTTAAACTCTCAAAAGTTTAGCAGTACTAGAACTGTATTCCAAGATGGCGGCGCGTGCAGATGCTGCGGCTGAGAGCTCCCGGGAGGGGTGTCAGGGTTTGTTAGGACAAATTATTATGCTGTTGTACAGAGACAGAAGTAGCAGCAGATACAGATGTAGAAACTGCTGTGTGGGAGCAGCTACGGGCGTGCGAGATTCCAGAAATCGTAAATCATCGAGGTTGGAGGAGGAGGAGGAGGAGGAGAAGAAGAAGAGAGCGGAAGCAGAAGAGAGGCTGTAGAGGACAAGGTCAAATGAAGGAGAGAATAAAGATAAGGAAGATAAGGAAACAACGATGCAAACTACCTCTTCCAAGTATCTTTTACGCTAATGTGAGATCATTGGCAAATAAACTTGACGAATGGAGGCTTCGTGTAGGAGTGGAGGAAGACATCCGGGATTGTTGTGTGCTGATACTAACAGAGACATGGTTAAATTCAGCTATTCCAGACACAGCTGTTGAATTACAAGGTTTTACAACGTACCGGTGGGACAGGACACAGGATTCTGGCAAGAAACAAGGGGTGTGTGTGTGTATTTTTGTAAATCAAAACTGGTGCACGGACTCTGTCAAGTTGGATACCTACTGTTCTCCGGATGTGGAATTTCTGACAATTAAATGCAGACCTTTCTATCTTCCCCGGGAATTTACAACAGTGGTCTTAACAGCGGTGTACATAGCACCAACTGCAAATGCATGCACGGCCATGAGCAGTGTGCATGAAAACATCAATGCTAAATTGAGCAGATACCCGGAGGTTGTGCACATTATTGCGAGGGACTTCAATCACACAGATGTGAGGGCAGTACTCCCAAAATTCCATTAGCACATCGAGTGTGCAACAAGGGGAGAAAATACTCTTGACAAGGTGTATACGAACATTAGACGGGCATATGAGGTCAAGACTTTGGCGCACCTTGGTGGTTCAGATCATGTGTTCCTGCTTCTGACACCAGTATACACACCCCTCAGGAAACAAGGCCAGATACAAACACGGATGGTTACGGTGTGGCCTGAGGGAGCCTCTCAGCAACTGCAGGACTGTTTCCAGGAGACTGACTGGAATATCTTTGACCATCAAGATCTAGAAATTTATACATCAACGGTCCTGGATTATATTAGATTCTGCACAGCAAATGTCACCAGGGAAAAGTATGTTAAGTTGTATCCGAATAGGAAGCCCTGGATGACAGGAGAGGTTAGGAGATTATTGAAGGCCAGAAATTCTGCTTTTAGAACTGGGGACCGGGTATTGTATGGCATAGAAAGAGCGAACTTGAAGAGGGGTATCAGGAAAGCAAAAGCGGAGTACAGAGGAAAATTGAGGACCATCTGAGAAATCATGATACTAGACAAATGTGGCAGGGAGTCCAACATCTGACTGGTTATAAATCAAGGAATTCATCAGTGGTAGAGAGTACTGCTTCCTTGGTGGGAGAGTTGAATACCTTCTTTGCCCGATTTGAGGTGACACCAACAGGGATGCCAGAGCTATTGGCATCACTACCTACAGGAAATGCTGCCAGGGTGGAAGAGGGAGAAGTGAGGCGAATATTAAAGGAGGTAAACACGAGGAAGGCTATGGGCCCGGATGGGGTCGCTGGCAGGGTGCTAAGAGATTGTTCGGACCAACTGGCAGGAATCTTTATGAAGATTTTTAACCAGTCTCTGGCCCAAGCCACTGTTCCACCCTGTCTGAAATCCGCTACCATTATACCCCTGCCAAAAACATCAAAGATAGACAGTCTGAATGATTTTCGCCCTGTGGCGCTGACACCCATTATAATGAAATGTTTCGAAAAACTGGTGAGGAAGCGCATCTTATCTTGTCTGCCAGTGGGACTTGACCCTTACCAGATTGCGTACAAGGCAAAGAGATCCACAGAGGATGCTGTGGCAATGGCTTTACATGCTGTCCTGACTCATTTGGAGAAGCAAGGGAACTACGCGAGACTGTTATTTGTAGACTTTAGTTCTGCATTTAATACTATTCTTCCGCATAGATTGGTGCCCAAATTATTAGACCTGGGACTTCCACCATGTTTGTGCAGGTGGATATTAGACTTTCTATCAAACCGTTCCCAAAGGGTCAGGTTGGGTTCCCACGTCTCTGCGGATCTCATCACGAATACGGGGACGCCGCAGGGGTGCGTGTTGAGCCCGCTTTTATACACGCTCTATACACAGCTCTACTCACAGCTGACTGTGCCCCCAAGTACCCCAGTAATAAGATCATTAAGTTCGCAGATGATACAACGGTGGTTGGTTTAATTACGGCTGGAGAGGGGGAGACGGCCTATAGGAAGGAAGTTGAGCAGTTGGGGGAGTGGTGCAGGAAAAACAATTTACTGCTTAACTTAATGAAAACAAAAGAGATCATTGTGGACTTTAGGAAATGTAAATTGAATATTCAGCCACTTATTATTGAGGGGAAGTGCGTGGAACAGGTCTCAGTGTTTCGATTTCTGGGAATGGAGTTGAGAGACGACCTAACCTGGGGAGAGAACAGCAAAGACCTGGTGAAGAGAGGACTTCCGGGGTGGCGCCATCGGCAATGGCGGACTCCCTCTGAACTGGAGGGACGAGCTCTGCGCGAAACGGGTCTTTTCCGCTACGGCGAAGCGGGGACCCTTTTAAAAATCACAGGCGGATGAAGCCTGTGACCATGGGACTCGGCGGGCACCCTTAGCACCCCCCCAACCCACAAAGGAACCCACTAACGGGCTCCGAAGCGAAGAGGGGGAAGTGGCGCGGTGCTGTGAGTCAACTGCTATTTCCGTGGAGCGAAGCCGCATAGCCGTTGCCGGAGAGCGCTGCCTTTTTCCTGGGACAATTTGGCTTCTAAAATAAGCACCCGTGAGTACTTAAACTTTGAATAATTGGACTTTAAATAAGGACTTGCGCGCAGAAAGGAATTGGACTTAAAAATTTACTTCAATTTGGTACTGAAACGGGAAGGTCTAAACAGGAAGTCAGCCTTCCGTTTCTTTGTAGACAGAATAAAGCAAAGACAACGTAAACTAGAGCTCAGAAAATCGCTTCTAAAGGATTGGCTTTCATCATTTAAAATTCTTGAACCCCCCTTCAGCAACAGGAGAAGAAGGGGGATCTTTTTCGGACTGTTTAAACCTGCAGAAGTGAGTTTAAAGTAAAGTAACTTTCCACCGTCCTGATCCTGGAGCGGGGTGTCAGGACTGACGTTTGAAGCTCATTGACCAGAGACAAATGTTTTTGACAGATAGCTAAAAGAAGAGAAACATAGTGATTCCACTGTTTCCTTTCGCATTTTAAAGGAACAAATATTGACAAAATATCTCAAAAAAGAAACTTTGTTGCAAGAACAAATAGAAGTTTTCCCCCTAGAGGGAGACTGGGAAACTGTAACTAATTCCAGGGAGCTTGCAGCTGTCACAGATTACAATCGTGGGAATAGGCTTGTGACCTTGTAGGACAATGTATTCAGAAGCTCTGTTGTGTGCTCTCTGTAAAACAAATGCCCTACTGGAACAGTTAACTGAGAAGACGGATTTGATGACTAATGCGGTCAGAATTTTTGAACAGGCAGTGGGAAACTATATAGAGCCCACCCAGGAATTAAATCAGGAGTGTGCCCTGACAGAACAGATGAGAGAAGAGGATGTTGCGGAATCTTGGGCGCCAGAAATGGAGGGAGCTGCAGCCCAACAGGAACATGAGCTTTTGGATTTGACAAATGAACTTGGAAAAAGCCAGATTTGGAAAGATAAAGTTTGGACTGGTTTGGAAATGGG